GATCTCCCTTCTCTCTGTTCTCTTTTCATCTCTTCACCAATCTTCTAGCCATTAAAGTGTTCTTCATTGTTCGAGGTGATTACAGATTTGAAAGGTAACAATAATTCACCCCTATTCTGCTTTTTAATCATGAATTTAAGTTTTTAGATCTGGGTTTTCTTTGTTGATTTGTTTAAAAATTTATTTTAGCAAAATTGTTCAATAAATCTTCCATACAGACATATATATGGAAAAAATCACATGTATATGTTTATTTGGATTTGGTTTGATTAGTTATTTTTGTTTTATCAAATTTTTATTTCCAACTTATATGTCTGTAATTGAAATCAGATTTTTATTTGCAACTTAGATGTCTGTAATTGAAATCTTAGTTGAAACCTATGTATGGAAAATCTCATATGAAATTTTAGCGGCAATGAATCTACAAATAACATCAGTACCTATGATTGATTGACTATCCATTTTCAACGAAGCATGGATTAAACACATTCTATCTTCAATATTACACAGGAGAGTTCTAGAGCATATAAACGTGTAAGATTCAGCGCCACCAAACCTATTCCAGCACATGTAATTAATTACCACATGCGACACTGATTAGCTACATTAGCAGCAGGTTCTTTTCTTGTTTTCTTTTTCCTATATCAGCATCCTATACTGTTTGTTTGCTTATTGTACTCTGCTTCCTGCGTAAAACTCTGTAATGAGGTGATTGGATGCTTGGATATGAAATCAATCTGGAGGTAATTTTTGATTCCAACTGTTACAGTATTTGAATTACAAGGATATATAGTGACAACGTGAATGTCCATGTTTTAAAATTACTTATTTGCAGTCCTCTACTAGGGATTTGTTCTGTTTATGGTTGAGTTTCATTCAATCTATGAAAAGAAAAAGGATAAAAAAATTACAGGGAAAAATAATGGGTTTGTTCTGTTTTATGGACTCTTTGTCTACTGTACATATTAGGTGAGGCCGTGTGGCTAATGTATGCTACTTAGGTGATGTCCTTACTCTCTACAAATCTGGGTTACGAATAAAACTAGTTTTTTTGGTAAATAAAATTTGCATTCTTGGTGGCTGGAGTGAAGATTCAGCTTGGTCTTAAGACAACTTCATATCAACCGACTCATTTAGATTTTAGAAATGAGGGTCGTCACTACTCTGCTGGAGTTGATCACCAGATGGAGTAGCATACTCAATAGCTGAACTTGTAGGCAGTTTTGAGTATTGTTTTTGGATGTTGCTGCTGCAGACTGTCATTGGTATGCACATGAAGTTGGGCAGTGTTTTTTTCCATAAGTTAGGGATGCAGATTACTGTAAAGGAGATGTCAATATATGTGATTCATGTCTCAATTTTCTTTTCATGTTATAGTTTAATTTAACTATTCTTGGGTCTTTTT